TCTGTATAATGATGATAAGTAAATTATTTGACTTTTACAAATAGCTACATAGTTCGTGTTAGTGTTGATTTATGCAAGTAACTATATGTATTTGTTGATCACCAACATAGAAGATCTATGTCGAACGATTGGGGGCCTACTCGAGTTAGACGGGAATGGTGTGACCAACAGCTAAAGTCGGAATCACACCTCATGGTCAACATCTAACGTGGACTACTCCTTCGAAGTATCAAAGTACTGTGGCTGTTTTGAAAACCTTACAACATAAAGGACGTTATTACGGAAATATATTAGTGAAAATAAGTAAAAGGAAAAGTGCGACCACCACCGCATGGGCCAGTCCATGGCATACGATTAAGTGATGTGCGTTGTTTTTCTTTGATACTGACAGGGATCAATGATCTGTTCGATCTCCAGAGACCCAACTACCGGATGATTTGGCTAAGGCTCACTGACATTTCACTGGCCCTATATATTTGTCTAATCAAAATTATTCAAATGATGTTTACAAAAACTCTTAATTTATTCATCAATCAATGAATATGTTGAATATATGTAAATCGCAGATAATGAGATAGAAATGGGCATATACTTAGATATGAGTGGATTGAATGAATACATGAATCACTTCATTCATCAGTCATCGTTTGTTTATGATATGACGGGATTAAAAAGGCAAAATTGCATTGTTTTACTCAATGGGACGATTATTCAGTGTAATATTTGTTTTGTTTACCAGTGTGATATTTCATTCGGTATAACAATATGATATTCTTGTATTAAATTAACAGGGACCATGCTCAGCATGACATGCAGCATCATATTTGCTATAAAACCAAGTATTTTTCATATATGATTTTATCCTAATTAATAATTAAAGTGGGTGTACAATCAATATAGAAATGAGTGTAATTTAGACTAGGGATGGCGTCGTCGTATTTCTTATTTAATCAATCTCCACTTGTACCAGCCTTGGTGTTCTTACTTCACCTCGTCGGAATTGCAGTGGTTACTAGTTTTACAAGTCTAAGTAATAAGCGATTCCGACATAGCAATCAGCGACAACCAGACATAATAATTTAATCAATGATCAATCTTAAAAACGTGTGTTATAGCCTAAAAAATAAATATATTGAGAGTTTTTATGTTTATGATTGTCAAAATTTTACATTTCGACCTGGTCAAGAAATAAGCTCAGAGATTTTTTTCAGGTTTCGAATTTCATTGGTAAGTGAGCATTAACCCAAGCAATATATTCTTAGTCATTCTTATTAAAATCTATATTTCCCAACGAGTGTAAAAACAAAACATCATTTACTCAATGCCCAATTTTTGTAAAACCCTTGGATCTGAACTTCATTTTAACATCTTTACAGAAAGATCATAATTTCATTGACTGATTAATAACTTTAAAAACACCTATAATACACTATCTCATGCTTTAAGTGACTTTTGATCATGTGTAATTTCTAGTTAAATATTTCTCAGATACGTGGATTTGAGTTATGTAGTAGATATTAACTTGTAGCGTGGCTTCGAGTCGCGGTTTACTATGAACACCATTACCAAGAAACACGTGCCAAATTAATCCCCCGGAAGCCAAATATCAGGAGACAGTTAATGGACCAAGTCGAGATATATTTGCTGGCGATCTCGTGGTGTCGAAAGAATACCGAGATCATGCCAGGATACAAGCTTGAGTACAGAGCGTAACCGAATCCGCACGAGTTCACAATCAAAGTGTAGGAATAATAATGGAAGCATAATATAGCTGTCATTAGCACAGTTAAACAAAGAGCACATTAAGCAAGCACAAGTAAAATTGGTTATAATAATAATTGTTTTCATTAAACCAATCGTGTTCTCGTGATAAGTGTGTCACCACAGACTCAACGATTGAGTGACACATTAAATTCCAAATCTAAACGAAAGGATTATCTGACGAACAACATATATGTAAAATATTAACAAACCACAACTCTTTAGATATCCGTAACGTTGTACTCATCAATATATACAATAAAACAAATTATATCAGAAGGGGTTTTGTGGATAAATAGTTATATAAAAATTATTTACAAACATATGATAGTGTAAATAATGGTTAGAAGCTGTGTCTACATTCGCAATCCTTGTCAACAATAATAATGGATGCGATTGTCACAAAAAATGGAAACGGCTACATTTAAACAAGAGCTTCATGAATGTATGAAAATTAGAAGTAACTATGAAGAGTATTAAGAGATTGTCATCTGAATAATAAAAAATGAAATGTTATGGGCTCATGTAAATTGTAGTATCGGTAGCTATGTTAAGTTCACACAGATTATTCTAGCTTTAGGACAGGCCAATTTATTCATCTTTCTTGAGTCACATTTTGACCTTGTTACTTATTCGCTTATCAACCTTAACTGTTTTTATATGAGCATATGTGTATGCACTTCCTATCCTATTCATCACATGTCTATAACTTATTTTCATCTAACTATAAATATCGATTAACATTTGATTAAATTGTGTCTGCTCAGATGCCTTCTCCACTGCGTGTTATTTAGCTTGGTTTTCTTCTCTTTGCTTCCTTCACTTCGTCCCTCTGATTGCCTGACCAGACCAACGAGTGTACAAAATATACGTATTCAAAAGTCCATTCTCGTATTTGACTTATTTAATTCCGTTATTCACTAACGCGATTTAAGTCGATGATTATATACGAGGATTGGTAACATATATATTTCGACAGCAATCATTCAATAACAATCATTTATACAATCTAGTTGCAGTCAGATTCAGCACCACAAAAAATTACTCCGTAATGACACACAACAACCAAGGTGAGTTCCTCATCTTATGCTCATACTGATCAACATCGAAGTTGTTTAGTGAATTTCAAACAGTGTAACTTAATACAGAAACAATTAAAATATGAGTTATGATCAAAATGGGGGGTAATTCTGCATTCCAATGTTGATCATTTGAGGATATTGCGTTGGTGATCCTATTTTAGTGATAAATCATTTGACGAATTATCAATTATAATTAAACATATAATTGTAAATCTACACCTCTACATAATTTATGCAACAATCTTTAATAATAAATTTTCTAATAAATCCATAAGAACGACTTAGTACAGAAATTCGGTACGCAAACCTCTGCAACAGCCTTACAAAGGACCTTTTCACGTGATTTCTCGTCACGAAAAGACCTTCAAGGTTGATCGACACGGCCGTCGTTGAAAAAGTTGTAAAGACAACTAATAGTGCATTAAAACACCAACACACATGTAAAAATGCTGCCCATTACTTACATTGTTAGTTACAAAAGTGTCTGAGATTTTGTCATGTAATCCATAATTATAATAAGTAGTTGGTAATTCCGGACACGACATGCATGATCCAAGGTAATATATATCGGGAATAATGGAGCTATGAGGACGCTATTTGTATCCATAAATGTGTATAGCAATTACGTTACAGAACTGTTAACGTAGCAGCCGATAAAGTGAGAACGAGAAGCGTACGGGCAGAAATGAATCTGTCAGAGATAACTAGTATGCTATGCAAACACAAAACAAAACAATGACGGAAAAGTCACACCGAATTCACGCAACAGTTTTGCGATCAGAAACAGTGAATGTATAAACTATATGCAACTATGGAAAATGTGTAAAATGACAAAAGTTTATTAAAAAACTAGTTTAACAGTAAAAGTCTTCGAAATAAATAGATCTGTGAGTTTCCGACATTGATGCTGACCTCGTTAATTTTACTGGACGCAGCTAGCTGAAGGCGGTCGATCACGCATAAGCACCAGATCACGAGTAGACCGTGCTTCGCATCCCTTACAACTGCCAACCAACTTAGATTAAACGCCTCTTGGCATAACGATAGCCTCCCAAATATATTTTCGAACCACTTTATTTCTGACTTCTGATTTGACTGGGTTGTTTTACTTTCATTTTAAAGGTATTATGAACAAAAGTGTTTTAAAACTCCGAATACTTGTGTCATCTTTACAAGTTAATGTAAGCCATCTCCATATTTTGTCAGAAAAATGAAAAAACGATGTCTTATGAATTCTTTCTTATACATACGCTTTCTGTCTCCTCTAGTTCTAATAGTGAATGAAACGTCTGAGTTCTAAGCGTCTTCACGCTGTTCCGAGTTACGGGTATGTATTCGAAGTATGGGTAAGTAGTTCAGGATTGCTGTTTTTCTAAGAAACGGGCATCAGATATGACGTAAAGATGCTCTGTAACCACACGGAAAGATGAATTTTGCAAAAAGCGCATTAAGAATTGTTTGATTAGCTCTTGCTTAAAACTCAAATGGATCTTGGTCACGGGTGTTTATAGGAATTGGTGTATTGGGTCGATTTACCTGTTATATGCAATCTACAGTGACGGAATTGAATATTTGATGCTTTCAACACTATCAATCTATCCTACGTTGGCAAAGGTGACTTTTCGTTAGCATTTTACGCGTTTTCAGATGTAAACAACAGTGTTTCGAATGCATGTTAAACGTAGCGTTTAGATTTACGCACATGAATTTCATCCTGACTGTCTCTTCAAATTGTATTTAAAGTTGTAACCGTACTTAAACACAAACGACGTACAAACTAATGGTCATGATATACAAACGTCACAATACATCTAAAGAAAACGAGACACCACAGCCAATTGTGGGGGTTTCTAACATCATAAAGATATAAGTTGATGCTTCTTCAAGCTCTGATTAAGCAGAGAGTTATCCAGTCCCTCAGAGATTGCACTTCTAGAACCTCAGTTGAGCATGATCGGCTTATCTATACATGTTGTAGCTATAATTTTCACGATTGAATTTGTATTGCCGCGCTACTTCCCGTTAGTGAGGCGGATTGTTTGGAGCTTACGATTTCATGTACTCTTAATAGGGGCTTGGGTTGTTGCAGGTATTGGGTTTGTTTTTGGCTGTTTCCTGGCCACTTATCAAATTGACAATCCTCCCTGCGTTTTTCAAATGGGTGAACGTAAGTCTGATGGTCAATGTGAGTCTAAGAGCTGTCGAATCCATTATACCCGAGTAAGTTTGTTCGACAAAATAATGTTCTACGCTATTAGGAAGAAATCCTGGCAGTTAAAGAAAATGCAGTTTCTACTGCTGAATTTTCGGACGAATTATCTCGGATAAATGCTTCTGTTATGCGTTCAACTCGCGGAAGGCCTAGACCCAATTCTTTTTCTAAAACTCAGGGAGGTGGTACGTTGAGTGAATTCATTAACAAACGGTTTGTACAGAGAAGACTCGAGATGCTTCCAACATAGTCCTCGGTCCTCAAAAACGTTCGTGGAACACTGGTTGTCATGTCTCTCAACAGCCTCAAGGTCGTGAAACGTCAGATGCAAACAATTCTACTCGTTGGCCTAAATTTAACTCAGAAAACCGATCCTACGACAAGCAGCATTGTAAAACGACTAGTGACTACAAAAGAGAGTATCGGTCCAACGATATTCGTGGCTCCGGTCGAGGTCGTGATCGCGGGCTGGGAAAACATGCTGAAAGTGCTCCGTTTGTTAAAAACCACAGCAGAGAAGACCGTTACAGTCATGACCGTCGAATTTCTTGTTCACACAGCGATGATGAACCTGAGTGGTTTGCAGAAGGTCCTACCACGGTTAACGAAACGATTGAACTTGGAGGAATTTTAGAAGAAACCGTGGAATGTGGCTCACGCAGAAAGCGCGTAGGAGTGGAAAATGATATTTCGCAAGTTGATGATAGTATATTGACAAATTCGAGCATTAGTAATAGAAACGTCTTTGATGACAAAGCCTTGGAAGACGACAGCAATGCATTCCCTGAACAACCAAGCAAATCCACAACGAGTGTCACGGATCAGGTGATGTCCGATAATCAAGGAAGCCGTTTCAAACACCTGTTTCAAAAGAATGAGATATCAGATGAAAATAAGCTTCCGAACAAACCAGCTTCTTTAGACAATATCAACGAACAGTTACTTAGGTTGCTGAAAGGTCCGTGCGGAAATTCTGCCAGTCATCTCAGTCCTGAAAAGAACAGTGGTATGGTATCTACAAATCCTAATTCTTTTTCAACTCTTCAAGTTGAAAATAAGCTTCGCTCTATTCTACTTGGACATGGCCCTGTTAATCCCCCGAATGTTGGGCCGGTCAAAGGTGAGTGCACTGTGATAATCATATAACTTAATTATTTAGAATCAAAACCAGCAGTACTAACTGTTGAAGAAATTGAAGCTCAGCTTAAATTACCTCAAGGAGATTCAACTGATATAAACGAATCAATCGATCCAATCGTTGATCCTCTTACTCATTATTCGGATCCTTTCATAGATGATCAAGCCATTAAATCTCGTGGCATACCTATTGGCTCATCAAAAAACTGTGGCTTGTTTTCTCAGTCAGGAATGACTTCAAATCTGGTGCCTATTTTGCAATCACTGATGATCAGAAAACAGCAAAACTCCGTCTACTCTCAGTCTACAAATCCGCTAAATTCACACTCACATTTTGGACTGGTCTCAAATTTTATGGTATGCAATATTTTCTGTGGACATTAACTATCGATAAATTCTCACATGTTTACTATTTTCTTAGTGGCTCAATACAATGGTTTGCGTTTGTTTCTTAATAGCTTGGTACTACCATTGAAGTACCTACTATGAATTCGATCATCTTGTGTTAATGAGGTGTGGCAGCTTGGACCGATGCATATATGTGCCTGGTCCTACTTTGTAACTGACTGATTGACTGAACTTGGTATAACAATTTCATTTGCTTATCTAACTAATTTTTTCTTTCTTTTAGGGAGATGCCACGTCTGCAGGTCCATGTATTAGTCGATTGCAAAACCCAGGTGTCCCCCTTGACGTACCTTGTGATGTCGATCTACCTTCGCATGGTATAGTGATTTTCCTTAAATTACTTTTTAGGTCCCCTTCGTCAAATTTGGAATGGCACAAGGGATGTTGTTTCTCACACAAGCCCACAACTGCACCCCTTAGGTAATAACAGCAGTTTTACTGAATCTAAGTTTAGGTTTGTATCCTGATGCATCTAGATTTCAAACTATTAAAACTCCGGACTCAGGATTACCTGGAAGACCTATAGTTAAGGCTCAACAAAATATTTTCGCTGATTACAACTCAAATAAACAGGCACCAAACTCTACTTTAAATAATAACCAAAGCCATTTGTCTGTCAATCTATCAGTTCACCAAGGTAGGTAATGCCGTTTCTATGTGTGTATGTAGTTGTGAAGGTTAGTTGTATCTAAGATTACTTATCCTCTTACATGTGATACAATCTTAATGACTACATTGTGAAATGCAATTTCCATATAACTCATAACTGATTCCTTTTTGTTGGAAGTTTGACTAATTTGAACTGACATTGCTCACCTTGCGTTTCGTTCATCTCATTTAGTTTTACGAAATGGCAAACTTTTCACTCGAAGCATTAAACTAAGATTCATGCCTGAGTAATTCTTATCATAATTCCTATTCATAGTCAAAGCCATACTACTTCCCGAACATGAATACTACAGTAGTAAGCTGTTTCCCATAAGCATTATGTTTGTTCCCTTGTCATTTGCTTTCTGTTCTTAGGAGCAAGATTATCAATTAACAGTCATCTCCAAAGTGTGTAGCTTCGTCATCAGTATTCTTTCAAAGTCTTATCATTTTGCTTCGTATCTTGCATCTAGCTTCAGCCCTGTTTACTCGGTGGCTCCAGCATTCTCTAGCAATGCTTCATAGTTACTTTTAATCAAGTAGTAACAACCGGATATTTGTTTTTTAAGGTCGGTTTTCACAGCCATAAGGCTAAGATGAAACCAGTTGCTGTTCGGCTTACTCGTTCTTGTTTTGCAAACAGACATCTTACCTACACCACGGGTGACTCATGCTGACAAAAGTCAAGCGAGCCTTCCGAATCCGTGCTGGTATCCCGTCAAATACCAACTAAACAGGACTAATGAGACTCCTGGGACAGATGGTTAGGACGCTAAACTACTTTACTTCGATGAAAATGACAAAAGCTGTCGAATAGCATTTAAAGTCGAATATTTTGATAATTGTTCCTCATATATTTGAGCTTAACCAACATTGCTGAAGTAGTGAGTCTTCGTCTGTGTTCCAAAATGTGAAAGTCAATATCCGATTTAAATATCGACATCCAAATCTAAAACCTGTTGGATTTGTTTACAAACCCTAGTTCGGTGTTGGTTAATTATTGAAGCTAATATCCTAGTCAAACTAATTCCTATTCAGCTATCACAAGAGAATTTCCATCCTTGCTTACACTTTGGGGTCAGGTGGATGAGATTATGTTCATTTCCCAGACTAACTGGTGTTTCAGTTTGTCGAATTGGTTAACCTAAACTATCCTAAAAGAGTTTAACGCATCTTAACCCACTAAAATCCCTCGCTTTAAATTAACTTTAGTCCTGTCAACTTTATTAAGAGTTGGGAGGAGCCTATTTAAAACTACCATTTTCCAATTAGGCCCTCAATATAAATGAGTTGCATAATTATTATAACTTAGACCCAAGTTGTAATTGACAATTGCTTCAGCCAGGTAATGTGACATTTTGGAGAGTGTTGCAAACGACTCTAGATTTTGGTGTTGGGATCGGAAATTTTTGTTATTTCTAACTAATGAATTTTAACTCCTCTCATCTGTGTAAAATAAATTGGTAGATATGCTAGTTTTCTACATTAAACACAGTTACTACCAACGTCCTTGTAAAGTCTGTAGTACGATTTCAACCTTGAACCGAAAAGTGAGTAGTCACTGTAAAAACATGTCCATACTCTGATCTGATCGTTTACATATTGCATACAACGAACCTAGGTGAGTTATACTGCGTTAAAGCAAAATTAACTTGGTTTACTGCAGTTAATTCATGTTTTATGAATATTTTTAAATTTTTGTAATTATTATCTTCAGACTCTAGCCATCGTCTGCTTGATATGAATGTGAAGCAGTTCTACCTTGGCAGTACTGAGCCCTCAAATCCAAATAATTCTCATGGTTCTTTACCGTGTTCAAAACAAAACTATGGAAATTTATTGCCGTTCCAAAGCTCAAGCCCATCACTAGCGTCATCTATTAATTGGAATAAGAATTCCTCTGCTCAACACCAAACTAAGGTTAATGAATCTCTAACTAGTAATGGAAGTTTGACTTTGTTATCACAACTAGTTGAGTGGGAAAAATCAAAACAACCACTTAGATCTAATCCATCCTTTAATCCAACGAAGGCGAAAACGCTAGAAGAAATAGAACAAGCAGAGTCTTCAAGAACTAATATATTCTTTTGAATTTGCAAAACTTGTGTACCTAGATTAGAGACTCCCAGAAATTTCGTCGGGTTAATTTCATTCCTTACCAGATCTTGTAAATTTATTTTCTATATAAGATCTGCGTAGTTTTCGCATGTGCGGAAACAGTGTACATAATTTAATTTTCTTCACAAGATTGCGATATACTTGTTTGCGTAACTATTTAATTCTGTCAATACTTTTCTGTGAATATTTCCCTTTATACTGAAATTCCAGTAACAGATCCCTTTTGGTTTCCTAAAATTGCACTTCAGATGTGCTCAGTTTATTCTCATTTTGCCTTATTTTGTTGAATAACCACAGTTTATGCATTTCTTTCTGACAGTTTCGTGTTTTGTCGTTACTGAAGTTCGAAAATAAAAAAATATGTCTTGGATACGTGTATATCTAAAAAAACATTTGTCTCAATAAATAAAAGTTAAGTCAGGAAATTTTTTCGTAGTTGAGATATCTATTAAACCTAGTCGTGAATGTGATTGTGCAATATGAACTGAAGCTCTTAATTGTTACTCGAATAGATCTAGTTGGACGTAGTAAAATACTGAGGATGGACAAACTGGTAAGTTAAGTCTTGACAAATGTTTAGGATGCACTACACGTTTTGTAAATAGCACTCAAGTACAAAGTACTTCGTGTTTCAATAAATTTAAATTATTAAATTAAATATTTTTGCCAGTTTCCGAAATATGGGGTTATTTAACTGAGTAACTAGATATATTCACTGTTTATGGTGGTCTTGAATCATGTACAAGGATCAGTTGACATTTTAATGTTGGAAAGTAAACTTGTTTTAGTCTAACGATCCTACTAACCTGTGCCATGCGTGGCGTCACACCTAAACTGTACATTAGTTATGTTAGAGGGGAGTATTTTCCAAAACGATGAGAGTTAGGATAAAAATGTAATGGGTGTAGGATTACTGTTGAAATAAAAGTAGTGGACAATATGCACATACCAAGGATTTCTGTACAAAATTTTTAGCTTGTAACATTCCGTTTATTTGTAATAGTAAGATTACATTGAAAGTTACATCTACATTTTACTAGAAGAGAATCAGAGTGGTAGATTCTGACTTCACACTGATGTACAACACAATGGCAACGAGGAGTTTTGTTTAATTTGAAATAGTCTGGTTTCTTAAGTAAGTGTATTTTTCGGTATGTCGTCTGCTAACACTTTCCTGAAAAAGTTATTTTGGAGAGTTTTTTAAATTCGTTATTAGGCGTCACATAAAACTATGATTCCATTTCAAATAGACAAGGGTGTCGATTTTTACGGAACTATATTAGCAAATTTAAAAGATCCTCTGTTGGAAAAAGTTAATAAACAATGAAAGTCCTATTATCTGTCCCTTATGGATTTAAAAGTGCATATTACTTAGTAGTTTCTGAGTTAGGATAAAACAAATTTACAATCATTTTTCTATTTTAAAATGGTTTCCTAAGTAGTTATGTACCTATCCATGAGCCACATGATGAGAACTGTTAGTTTTTCTTCTGTCAACAAAAGTGTAAGATATTTTGTGTAGTCCACAGTGTAACTATGACCACATATTTCAAATTAAAATTGATATCCATTAATTTCTGATTTCCAGTGAAATCTGTCCATGGTCTTTTCCATTCATTCCGTCGTCATAAGTTTTCGTTTTTTCTCTTCGCGTATAAATAAAACCAGTACGCTAGTTATAAGTCGTAAGATTCACTAAACTGGATTTGTCACACATCAACTAATTAGTACTACACAAATAAAATTTCTGAAAGTTCATATATTCTTGATCTAATTAGGTTTCATAAATTTAAAATCCTAACAATTTCGTCGAATTTAGACTTATTGACAGACTGTTATATATCCCGGTTCTTTTTCGTAATATTTATTACGAATATTTCTATCTGTCGAAGTTAATTCAAACATCCATGAGTAGTAAGTAATCTGTTAGAATAAAGCGTTGAATAAATTGTTCTGTAATATATATGTATATGGCTTAGTGGTTAAAGTTTTTAACTAACTGTCCTCTCCCTACTTCAGTTTCGAAAACCGGGTTGTGGTATTAGCTCTCACACTCAAAGTGTGATGAGTGGCTAAAATTCGTAGTTCTTTAGGCATGTAATAACGACCGTAGTACATGTTTCGAAATGGAGTATGTTGACACTTGCTAGGCTATAGTCGTGTACATAAGTATCTTTACAACAATTGAGCATTGTCTTTTAAGTATGGTCTTTGGAATAAAGGGAACACATATTGTGGTGTGAAGTAGACTCATTTGATTTATTACGCTTTAAATATTTGCTTATTAATTCCAATATGAAATGTAGTTTTGCATACTGAAGTTGTGGAATAATAAAATAGTACCTGATTCTGAGGATTTTCCTCATCCACACATGTTCAATCCATATAAAAGAAGAAATCGATCATAGCAAACAAAATATCAATTAAAAATGTAGGCAAGTTGGTATAGACAAAATAGATAATAATGAACTGCTCACAGTAGTTTGTAGATATAAATAAGAAGAGTAGCTAGTACGGAAACATTTTCATTAGAGAAATCATGTGTCTAGTGATAATACCGTACAACAGCTTACATCATGACTAAACTAAGTAAAAAATGCATCAATCAAATTGAATGAAGTACGATGACGAGATAAATAATTTCTATAAAATAATGGAAGCATTCGTTAAAAAATGTTAAATTAGTAAAGCGATGTTCATTAATCTATTAGCCAAACGACGTGTTTGTGTAAAAGTGTGTGGGGGGGCGGAAATTGTTATTATACAGATATTTACTTAATAAAGTAGTTTAACTATAAATGAGATCATGTTAACTTCACTTATTGTGATATTTAATTCCAGTATTATTGTTTTATTCAGACACGTCCATATAAATATTTTACAGTCAGTATCACAGGACTGTATATGGATTCGATAATCGCCGACCACGGCATCCAATTAATATAACATATTTATTTATTTGGACACATGAATATTGGTACAAGAGAGCGCCAATATATATGCGCCACACAATATAACATATACAGCAGATTAAATTATGTACTCCTAGTTTAAATTAATCCTATCGATTCTCTTTGAAAATATTAAAACCATTCTGCAAATTACAAATAAATATTCTCTTAAGGTTGACCGAATGCATAATCTTTATGGTGAGCTCGTGAAGCACAGAGTAGGTCATTGTAAAATAATAAGATAAGGTATGACCGATGTTTTCTAATTCTTAGATAGGCAATAGAACTTTTTTGGTTCCAAAAATTTACGGTGTATTCAGGAGCTGGCCATACATCTGACCATTCTTGTTCTTAGTTTATTGTGTTGATTATCCTTTACAGAAAAAAAGTAAGTTTACTCATTTCTTCATTTTCAAAAGACAATATCGTTTGTATGAAACAAATAATATTGTCTTCCAAACAACCACATTAGGAATCCTTTTAGGAATTATACTAATTCAATAATGAATCCTCATGAGGTATAAGTATGATATTGTATTGATTTAAGTTAAAATTTAAATTGACAATTAACCTTGATCGATTCCAGATCTAGAGTAGTAAACCTTGATTTACTATCCCAAATAGGTTATGGCAAAACTTTTAATTGCCAGTATATTATTTTAAACAATCATTCCCTTTTTAAAAAAATATAGCTGCAATAGGTCATAAGACTGAATTAAATCCAGTCATTTTAGTTTGATATAAGAGTGATCTAGAGAGTGTATTTAAATTTGTTAAGCTATTAATCATACGAAAATTCGGATCCTCTTGTGTATTGAAAAAAACATTTTATACTTACATTAAACTTATTCTGTTATTATTGATTTCAACAACAATTGTTTGTCTTCATTTGTTTAGTTTGACCTTTTTAATTTGTATAGAAATATCTTTTAATATGTGATCAAAATATAATCTAACATGTCATGATCTAATGTTGTAGAAGGATTCAGATAAATTTTATCTGATCGGTACAATATCCAAAATTCATATCAAATCAATGTTATGTAATACTCCTTAAGTAAGATGCCCTATACAAACGGGAAAAATGTAATGTACATTGTTTAGTATCATGTCATTAATTTATGCTAAATAGAAAGGCTTTTTAGTTGAAACACGTTTTGAATAAAGAGGGCAAAATACATATTATTAAACAGGTCTTCTCCAGATACCGGCATGCATTATATATTGTACCTTAATAACGAACAGAGCCAAATACAGTAATGGACAGTATACTTAACCTTAGCCAACATTATGTACCGCTTAAACTTTAAGCAGATAGAAGCAATATTCGGTAGTTCATAGTTCAATTATTTTATTTATTTTAACACATAGATATTGGTACAAGAAGGCACCAAATACATATGCGCCACACAAACCTTATTCGATATGTGTGAGGGCTGTGATACTGCCCGGGTGCCCAAACCAAAGCAGGTGGTTCTCTTAGGGGGCCACTCCCCGAGCCTTTGACCTAAAGGTCTGACCCACAAGGCAGTGGAGCATCGTAAGGAGATGCAGTCCCATGGTAGCCCGTGACCAACGATGGGTTCATACGCCATTTGTTCCCGCAGGATACTGGAGCCCATGTGCACCATCAGTTTGTGATCCGGTTGAAGCGCCGGACATTCGCTTTTCGTCCTCTCATTTTTGTAAATAACACCCCCGCCACGAGAAGGCAGTGAGTAGGACTTCCCTGGCAGAGGCTATATGCGCGTGGCCATGTGAGAGCATTTCGAGAGGGAGAGCGGACTTTCCCCACTCTCGGCCGTACCAGGGCATTTGGGGGCTCAATTATGTAAAATATCAAATAGTATCATGTAGAATGAAGTTAAACATGTAGTGTATGTCGAAATGAACCAAACTCCTGAAATTCTAATTTTTTGTTGATAATTAAACTTTTGATACTAAAGTATCAGTCAGTCAGTCAGCTACAACGTAGGACCAGGCACATATGTGCATCGGTCCAGGTTGCCATACCTCATTAGC